GACACTCTAAGTTACCCTAAGCCAATACAGGATTTGGACTACACTTCCCATGCAAGTATTTATACTTCTACAATGTATATCTCACTTAGTCACCTTTTAAACCATAGGGTTTAAAAAATAAACCTAACTCCATAAATCAACTACAATGAGTCTCAATTCATTATTCTTTCTTTATTAAAATTAATTACTAAAGAGCTCTACATTACATAAGTTATTATAATAAACGTTACATAAATATCGTTAATCGCGACAGTAACTGTTTAATTCATACATAAAGATACTCGAAATACCGCTTTAACAGAGGTCGTTGTAGTAATAAAGACCTATAGTATAAAGATTATATTATTTACTGGTGATCGTAAATTAAAATAAAGGTACGCACCGCCTCTGTGGTCTAATGGCAAGACAAAAGGTTGACAAAAGTACCGGGTTCTGTTCCCAGTGAAAACAAATTTTTCTTCTCGGTTTGGTTGGTAGTGTTAGTTCTCAGTCTCCATGACTAGCTGGCACTATCATACCTATAAGTCGTCATAACAACAATTTAAACGGCATTGTTGTGTTTCAGGTGGTAGAGGATTCCGGGTGATCCTCGCTTTAACCTTTGGCCTGGTCATTACTTTGCATAAAGTGAGCTTCCTTAATTTGATTAAATCAATCTGACAAATAAACATAATCGTGTTGTAAGTTGTTAAAAATAAACGCATATTTAAGACTTAATAAACTACTTGAAAATAAACGTCTAAATTCATTGACTAGTGATTGTTGTTAAGTCTGCCAAAAAAACACATACAAATCTATTGTAGTGGAACCATTAAAAAACGAGCACTTCTTTGTTACCATCATACAAGGTATAACCCTTTTTTACCACCATGACATCAGGTTTATTCTTGCACGATGCATTTGTAGGTAATGAATGGAAGTAATTTTGTATGGAATCGTGCCGATCTGTATCTTGAAATTAGTTATTAAAAAAGGTTAAACTTATTTAAACTTATAACTAAAGGTTTAAAAATTGATATCGTTTCACTGACCGATTTACTGAACGTAATTGAAGCCGGATCAAGAGGTGCATATTGCATAAAGTTCCTACTAATATAAAAAATAAGTACATTTTCTATGCAAAATTAAACGTGTGTTTTATTTGAGATTTGTCATACAAAAAGTTCATGAATTTTAGCACCAGGATCACTGAATACTGAAATTCAGAAGTCAATTTGAAGTCCATGAAATTTAAATCTACTTACTTGCAGCAAAAGTAAGGGCTCCCGCGCACTCCGCAGCCTAGCTGTGGCAGTCAATCCGGTATATGAACACTCTTGGCTGCCTAGTGTGTGGACTCCCATACATCGTCATATGTTCGACTGGCTTCGGCAGCCAGGCTGCCTAGTGCGCGGGGTCACTTAATAACCCGATTCCAAAATTAAAGTAAAAGTTCTCCAAGGGAAACTATAGGAAGTTAATACCGTAGCATACACGTGATAATTCAATTTAACTTCTAAAACCTTGGTCAGATAAGTAAACCATGGAACCATTAGCGATTCGTGTGGAAGCGGATTTTCGATATGGATGCACGATTTCGCAATATAAGCGCTATAGCGAGGTGAGGTAATTAGTAAACATGAATTATTGCATCCATTTATATTGTTTTATTTTAATATTGACGCTTGATCTTTACGGATGCTGGCAATCACGAAATTATTAAAAAAAACTTGTTATGTTTTCTATACGATGCTGAATTGTAGCTAATTTATGGTCGTTGCTCTTTGACTCTATATACGAAGTATTTTTTATATCATTATTATTTAATTTTCAATATTTTGTAGAGAAAATTATTTATCATCAACGTTATTAGATAATTTAGCGTCCACTGCATGAGTAGGTACGACCCTCTCTAATTTACCAGAGGCAAAGGGAAGATTTGGCTGACACTCCCCAACTGATAGAATATTTTCAAATCGTGTCGATTTCCACCAATTGATTTTATTTTTAGGCATGGCATAATAAATTTTAAAATAAGCTGTTTAAATATGTTGTAACTTGGCACGCTATACAGGGTGTTAGGTAAATGGGTATATGAGCCGACACTAGTCCATGTTAACATGGGCATATATGTGGTATGGTGAAGTCAGAAATTTGATATTATCATCATTTTAATTTTTTTAATTTTCATACAAAATAAATTTTATAATATCCGATTTGTATGAAAATTAAAATAATTAAAATTAAGATATCAATTTTCTGACTTCACCATACCATTTATATGTCCATGTTAACATGGGCTAGTGTCGGCTCATATACCCATTTACCTAACACCGTGTAGAATAGTAGGCGGCAACTTTGTTTTGTTTAGTATGACACAACTAATTAATATTATGATCTAAGCTAGATCTTAGTGTCTGTAGGTTTACGAGTGTATTTTCCAAAGGAAAACCAGTAAAATCAGGTTTATATTATTGCAGTTTACCTATAAGAAAATAATAAATACATACTTCCTGGCCAGAACAATTTCTATATTAAAAGAAACAGAGTTATGCGACTATTATAGCATCTGGTCTAGTGGTATAATCTAAACTTATAATAAATCTGTAGAGAGGTCAATTCTCTACATGAAATATATTTTCAAAATAACTATCAGGGGGTGATTAGTGATCGATACTGATGCCAAAAATGCAATCAGTAAAATTTTTGTCTGTCTGTCTGTATGTCTGTATGTTCCTTATAGAAACAAAAACTACTCGACGGATTTTAACGAAGCTTGGTACAATCATTCTTCATACTCCTGGGCAGGTTATAGTATACTTAGGAATTCCCACGGGAACGGGAATCAGCAGGAAAATCCTTTTGTATGAAAAATCTAAACCGCTTAAGTTAGACGCTTGACATTTGGCATGCAGGTACCTTAGTAAACTTAAAGCTTAGTTACAACAGGATATTGCAAAATTCCCACGGGAACGGGAGTTAGCGGGAAAAAACATTTGTATGAAAAAATCTAAACCGCGTAAGATAGATGAAGGGGGTCAAACGGGATCCACGCGTACGAATCGCGAGCGGCCGCTAGTAGAAAATAAAATAAAAAATATTTTGATATAAAATGTTACGTGTTTCTTGAAATAAATTACTCAAATGTAATAAAATATTTTATTTTATTTACTATGAAATGTTTACGACGTGTCTAGAATAACGTCATATTATTTTACGACATGTGCGCGTACCTACGCAACTCGCAAGATCATTTAATTAACAGCCCGGTTGATTAGTATCGTGGTTAATCACAATAAAGTTTTGGGAAAACGTTTTTCTTTCGTTCATTCTATCTTTCTCTAGTAAGGGTAAAATTATTATGTTGGGGAATAATTTTAAAGAATCTATTGCATAATACTTAACTACTTATTTAACTCTACTACTAGTATCAAGTGATTTATTTTTCCCATCGTCATTTAATTAATAATTTTGGTCCGTAGTGATATTAATATTTAATATCAACCCGCATTGGTGGTGGCATATAAAGGTAGTCACTGTGGCATTTCTCTATTTGTAACAAGTGCTATTTTGCAACAAGAATATCTACTTAACAAAAAATATTTAGGCTGATAGCTCTAATAACGACATCACGCATTCTTATGTAAATAAGGTAAATAAACTTTGTATAATAAATACCTTCCAATATAAAGCATATCGTGCTCAGTCGATTGCCTTGGAATCTACAATTGTTATGGATAACATGGGATATAATTTAATCTTATGGTTGACAAAATATGTTAATTTAATAGGCTCTTGCTACATTTCATTGAGAAACCAATTTGATTAATTTAAAAGATTTTTTTGTAAATATGCGGAAGTATCTATGAATATCAAGGCAGGTATGTAACATCCTAGATAAGACTGCATCTTACTTAACATTAGGTGCGATTACGGTCAAATAAATGCCTTGTTTTGCATTAAATAATGTTACGTTTTATACTCAAAATAAATTAGATTAATTTTGGTCCAATTATAATCGTCTCGATGTTATCTAAGTATAAGACGTAAAATTGGCCCTGAGAAGAAAGTACAATACGTAGGAACAACACAATTTTGGCGGTTTTATTGCTAGAAAGTGATACTTTACATACAGTCATGCAGTTACGTTATGTCCACAAGATCTGAGATTACTAAAATAACGAAACTTTCACTTTATGTAGGTAATATTTCATAAATTTTGTACAAAATGAAAAAAGCAAAATATTGCCTTATAATCACTTTCCATCAGGTGATATAAATAATCTATATATATAAAAATGAAACCCGTTTCGCGTTGTCACGGCATCACGTGTGAACGGCTGAACCGATTTCGATAATTCTTTTTTTTAAATGTTTGTGGAAGTCCAAGGATGGTTCTTACGGAAAAAAATATTAAGAAAATCTCTACGCTAAGGCGGTACGAAGTTCGCCGGGTCAGCTAGTAGTAAATAAATAATTGATTGTTTTTCTTTTGGGAGAGAAAACAGTTTTCACGCGCTAACTATTACAACGGTGACAAAATACGTTACCGTTATCACAGATTTACAATTGTATGTTAATAATTAACTTTACCGTTATGTGGTGTATTATGCAGATAATACTCACAAATGTAGAGCACTAATAATTATCTAGCTATTTTTCAAATAACACTACTTTTAGAAACCGACAAACCTATACAGCTCTATTCTATCGACTAAATTAGTTTCTCGATAAATGTACATTTCCATTTTTATCATTTGATTATATTTTTCACTGCATCGAATGGTATTTTGATGAGCTAGATAGCTATTTTTGTTACTATGCATAAGGAATGAACAATTGTATATGTATAATTTCGATCGACAAATGCATTCGCTACACAAACGTTTTTCAAATGAGTACTGTATTTGCATCACAAAAAACTCAACCATCCAGTGCAGTCATTGTAAGTGCTCGTATTTTTTGCGGCCAAATAAAACATTTGAATTTGGAATGTCATTAAATAAAGTTCAATGACTAACCTTGACAAAGTCCAAGCTTTTCACTGTCACTTGCACAATTTAAAATTTAAAAGCAGTTTCTATTTCACTTTTAGAAGAAAAAGAAATGAAACTGACGAACTATTTGTAATTGGAACGCGGGCGCATCGCGATGTATGCCGAGCGGTTGCGCACGCGCGCGCGACTAGAATGGTTGTGGCGGCAGCATCTGAAGGATGGACCCTCGTTCCTCATGCCACCTCCACGTTTGCTGCTGGCATTTGTTTTTATCAGTCACTTGATGAAATGACTGGACCGCGATTAGAATCTTTTATCTTGATGACTGTTTACTGTGAATCAACCTATGAGAGTATTTAGTTTGCGCACCAAACTACAGCGCCAACCGGCACTGTAGGTTCGATTCCCCCAAGGGGCAAAGCGTAGTGTAATGAGTAAAAGTTAAGCATTTACTAGAAGTTATGGCCGTATATAGTATGTGTATCTTTATTCATATGTAAGTATCTTTATTCGTTATCTATCCGTCTTTTACAAACTCTTCTTAAATTGTTAATTTAGCCATTTAAAATTCATAAAAAACTTGGATTGCAATTAGTTTAACATGATTTGTGCTGCAGTACCTAATGTGAATCACAAAGCTAATTAATCACATATTTTTCTTGTTATGTTTTAAAATACACATAAGCCACTAAAAATGATACTGCTGTCTACTTCAAGTCAAATCAAAAGGCTCTATCTAAAGACATTTGATATTGTAATGTACAAAGCTTAGTGTTTAGTAAGTAGACATCGACAATCTCTTTGATCTGTGCTCACAAATAATACCTAAGTTAAAGTGTATTATTAGCTTATTACAGCAAATAAAATTTTACCGAAAGAATGAACCTTCAAAGGTACGAACAGAAAATAAATGTCTTTATTATACGTACTTACAAAGAACCGTAATTTTTGGAACAGCATTATTCTTTTTTGGTGTAAAAACCGGTTATCTTTTGTTTTGATAAAATAAGTTGAGGCATTTTAGAAAAAGCCAAATTTTTGCTCCTCACACACGGCTTATTCAAATGGATAAGTTACCGTTACTTCAAGTCTGCCAGTGCAAATGTGACTCACCTTTACAGACATTTTTAAGAGTTCTACGTATATTGTAGGATACATAATTATACAATACATATACGTAGAACCATGATAATGGTTCTCTTTTCATAATTTAATTCAAATTATTAATTTAGACATAATTATGTGTTTACTGCTTTACTCTATGTTGCATGCCAATTGTCTTTGGTTATATTATGTGTGAAACTGGCATTTATATGATTATCATTATGTACCACATTTACCGCAATAAAGTAATTCTTATTCTTAATTAAACTGAAAATTATTACTTCATCAGGTAGGTAAGTAATATTTCAGGAAATAATGAAAAACTATTTAAATTGTTTTATAAAATCGACCAAACATTTTCAAATCAAACATATCTAACATGCTCATAAACTTGATCACCTTTGCATTGCACAAGAAATCAATATTCTTTGATCATCCCGCTGCTTGTTTAATTAGGATTAAGTATAGGGAACAATATAGACGAAGTTAAAATGGAAAAGAGAAGTATTAATTGAACACCAAACGTTCCCTTCATTAATCATCTAACTAAACTCAGTTACGAACTAAAACCAAACCACAATTTCATCAACAAAGAGCCTTATCTACGGGAGACCCTTAACCATATTCTAGCGTCCCGAATAACCAAATAACGAACGGAGTTATGCCTTTGAATTTTAATACTCTTTATTTCAAACAGATCCGGAACGGGTCGTTTATATTTTTCTCTACTTTCACCGAGAAACTTTTGCTTTGCATATTCGTTGTTTAACCGCTAATGGCTTTAACAAGCTTGACGTGGAAACGGGGACTAAACGGGGAAAGTAATTATTGGCTAGATACTTCTATTGAATCCTATTTAAATAGAAGGGATGCAGATGTAGAGATCAAGAAAGTTATGTTTGTGCCCTGAAAAGGGTCTACCTACTTAGACTGAGTTGCACCACCTAACTTTGACCGTAACTATAACAATAACCGATGCTTTTTGTATACAGGGTGGAAACGTTAAGTGATCTCATTCGATTATTTCTAAACTATACAAGATATCGAAAAACTGATTACTGATTCTGAAAGTGCTTCAGAAGCTCTTTCAAACGGCACCAATAATAGGTTACTTCCACCCTGTATAATTTGACAGACTTTTGACGTTAAAGTAAGATACCTATTAATTTCTCGTATATGGATTACTTAATCAAATATTAATTTAATTCTATTTCAATTGAACTAAATTATTATGTTCATGCTTATTGAAACATTGTTAAACAAATAAAATAAAATAAAATTATGTAAGCGGGAATTATTAGAAAAGCTTAGTATAGTGGGTATAAATAAATTCTGAAATGCTCTATCTCAAATTCTCAATACTAGTGTAGTATATTCTGCTGACGAGGCAAAAAATAAGCGGAATAAGTATTGATGACGAACATACAGAAATAAAAAGTATGTTTGTCTTAATAGTTGTAATAGTGAAAATAATTATATTACCACCTGGTCCATGGTGTCCTATTTATTTGTAAACATACTTAAATTGAACTCTAGTGCTGGTAGATTTTATGACCCCATCTGCAAAACGAACATAAGGCCTTGATGTTTTATGTCAATTACAATTTTCTATGACTTTGAGAAATTGAGATGTTATTTACACTATCGCAATCAATTTCTATTGTATGCTTGCAACTTGCAAGGGCCTTCATGCCAAATAATACGGCTTTTCCCTTGGCTTAGACTTTGATGGAGAATGTGTCATCTTGACACTCGGTAGCGAGTCAAGCCAAGTTCACTTTAAGAATTGAAACAGGAGCTTTGCGTTTTCTGATTGTATGCTAGGTTTTGTACATTTGACTTGCCTAGCTTATACCAAATTTGTGAAACGTATATTTGCGTATAACTTGATAACATTGAACATGTACCTATTCTTCTTAAGATTTATACAATTGTATTGGTGTAATTAACTGTTGGTGAACCAAAGAAAAAAATAAAATAAAAACATATCCTACTTCCTACTAATATTATAAATGCGAAAGTTTGGATGTCTGGATGTCTGGATATTTGTTACTATGTCACGCAAAAACTACTGAACGGATTTTGATGAAACTTTACAGTATTATTGTTTATAACCCAGAATAACATATAGGTATTATGACGATCTGTGACAAACGAAATTTCACGCGGATGAAGTCGCGGGCAAAAGCTAGTAACATAATATACCTTTATAAGCCAAATATTAGATTTATTTTATGTAGGCTGAAACTCTTGTTGGGAAGTGAATAAGAAGGGAAATAGACAAGTTACATTTAAAGAACTTGGCACTCTTTTATATCTCAATTCTTTTATAAACAACCAAGTATACTCGTATTCTGAATGTTGAACTTACCTCTTATTTGCACATTTATATTCCTAATGGGATTTTAACTTCACAATTACGAAGTCAAGTAGCTAACTCCAATCACCTTGACGAATTGAAACACTTTAAGTCTTTCTTAGTTAGTTATACGTGACTTAACACAGCAGATAACAGGACAAAGCAATATCTGGAAGCTATTTAGTAAATGAGAAACATAATTTTGTGAGGAATCGAAAAAACCCATCGGTGTAAAGGAAAAATCACGTTTTTTGCAGCGTGCGTGCACCGGTAATACATAAGTTTGACGTAATACTTATAATATCTTGCCAAGATGTTTAACATAAAATTTTAATTTCAAATCCTCTATTTGTTTTTTAAGTAATTATTCCTTTACAAATAAAAAATAAAGACCTATTGTACTAGGCTTTTGTGGCTGTAGTTTGGTTCAGAACAATAGTTAGTAAAGGACGCCTATTGTTTTAAGTAAAGGTATCGTTAGCTTTTACTACTTTAGTCGTAATACTAAGCCAAATTTGAATAGAGCGAAAATCTTTTTTAGTATAATGGTCTGTATGTCCATAACATGGACTCCATACAATGAACATAATGGTCCCGTGATTAATTGTATCCCCAAAATTTCATTATTCAAAAACAAACCATTTTTGCCATTAACCATCAATGGTCTGCAGCGTTTTAAAACAATTTATTAAAATGAGACAAAAACGTTCGCGCAATTTAACAATTTGCTTAAATTCTCCAAATGAGTGTTTAATTTATTTCAGTGTCAAAACTTCTGATTACAATAAAACTATGACAAAATAAATGTGTGTGATTGTCACTTTTTTTTCTTTACCGGTTAAACCGTTTAACCACACCAACCATTTTGTGGTTTAACACATTCTGAAGTGGCATTGAACTTTGTGTGATGTAGTGTACTTATTATAATTATAATAAAATATTAATTATATTATGCATATGAAGTACATAGGTAAGGTAATCAATATAATTATAATTTTGTTTTATTGGCCTCTGATAATATCCTAATGATGGATAATAGTGATTTAAACCGTTAATGTTATGATAATGAGGTTGGATGAACTTAAAACAAGCAAAACCTGGTAGTTCATACGTGTATTGTAAAATTGAAAGCTTGTGAGAATAGATTGGCCTTTTTTCTGTCGTGTTAAATACTAATGCCGGAACAAATATCTAAATGGCAAATGCATTTTAGATAAGGTTACTAGTTTTTAATTCTAGGTGTGTTAAACAAAACATGTACTAGAACCTACTTAGTGCAATAGGGTTTAACTTTACAATATTAAAGCTGGGTTGCACCATCTTAGTGTAAACTATGACAAACGTCAAAAATTTGTCACACTCCATACAAAAAACACTCGTTATAGTTAGGTACGGTCAAAGTTAGGTGGTGCAACTCAGCCAAAAACTGAGGACCATACAACCTGCCTGAGCCTCAGTCGCATGATTGTGCAATTTGTGCATATTAAGTTTGAGAATGTTACTAGGTATGCAAAATCACTTGAAACCTATGTTACAGTTAAGCTTTTACATTTACAAATACATTAGTTTTTATTTCATTCAAAAATACCCAGTAGTTATGATTTTATAGGCATTCAAAGTTAACTTAAATATTGAGTCCCGCTGACGGTCACGTGACCCCGCGTGACGTACATTCACAGTGTCCGCTCACTAGAAAACGGATATAAACATACTTAAATACATTTTTTTTGTAAATACAAACTTATT